CTCCTCTCTCTCTCTCTCTCTCTCTCTCTCTCTCTCTCTCTCTCTCTCTCTCTCTCTCTTTCTCTCTTCTTCCAAACTCTCTCTTCCAATCTCGATTATAGATCACAGCGGGGACCAGTCGACCATGTTTGATGAAATGATTTAATCAAAGGTAAACGCGGGCGGAGAACTCGTCGAGGAAAAATTGTCCTTGTCGGTGAAAATCGCGGAGAATCGCCATATTTCGCTCGCTATCTACGCTCGCCGAGTATTTGCACTGGTAAAATGTATTTACTCTTACACACGAGAGAGTTTATCGATTAGAGTTTATCGGCTGGAATAACGATGGACGTCGTATCATCGTTGGGTAAACGAAATCGTTTACAAACGCTTCATTCGCGTCGTTATTTTTGAACGAGAAGCCTTTTTTTTTTTTTTTTTTAGAATTTATTCCATCCTGCCAACTAATTTCCACTACCGCTACTAGATACTTTCCCGTTTTTTATTAAATTCTACCAATTTCAATTTTTTCGTAATTAAAATTTATTATTAGAATCCATTCTATTTAATCCCATCTCCAATCTCGCTTATCTAATCATTTGGGGCAATTTATAAAAGGAAGTAAACCGATGAGTTATGCCCGAGAGAAATGCTCATAATTGGATTTTAAACGCTTTAAAAGTTTCGAATCGCATTCAATTTCTACAGGGATTGGAAATAATCGTGGCGGAGATCGCGGTAGTCGGGAAACAGAGTGCGTCCTGGTATTATATGCGGCCTTCGACCGGCGATAATTCAGCAAACGTTGCCGCGCGGAGAACCTAACAGCGATTCCGGTCGGACATAACTTCCGCGAGCCGCTATCGCGGAACTCCACACCTCTACTTTATTAAGTGTACACACATACACACACACACACAAGGATGGTTCACCGGCCGAACAGATACTCGATACACGATGATACCGCATACGGGAACCGGGTACAGAGACGTTCGTGAAATAATGCATTCGCGATACTTCGTTTCGTAACCAGGATTAAGGGCAGATCGAAGGAACGAGTAATTGTAGAAGCTCGATCGCTCGTCTGGATAATCGAAGAATTATTTAATATCGCTCGAGGTGTGCCATGTGAAATCAATTTTCCGGTGTAATCTTATATTTCCAGTGTAGTTTCTTCGAGTATTTTGTAATAATAAGATGTGAGATGATACGTTTCAAGTCTTTGAAGAATGAATTTCCAGAGTAAACTGGAGTAAATTAAATTATTTTGGAATTAATTTGATTTATCGGTGTCTTTTTTTTTTAAAATTACTCGATTTTCAAGCAATAGGTTTATTCTTTTTCGGTCAAGTTTTATCAAAGACGATTCGCGTATTTTCGTGGATCGTGGCCAACAGAGCCACCTCATCGTTTCTGTATCACACGATAACTCGATTAACCGCGATAACCGCGAATATTTATTATCCTCTGAGATTTCATTTTGATATTCAGTGGCTCCCTCTGTTGCCGCTACTGCGCCCTCGTGCAACGATGCGTTTCTCCAACCGGAAGTTGAACGTCGAGGAGTACACGCTTAAATTCGTGGCGAGATACCGCGGTGGATTGAAATATTGACCCGTTCCTGGTAATACATTTCCATGAAATTTCTCTTTCTCGTTCTCTTAACACCTCAAAATGTAATTCCAACAAATGCAATTTCAAACCTTGCACTCTCATTATCTCCATCATTTTCACTCTATAAAGGATTCACGTTTCATATTATTTTCCAGATTTTTAATTTTAAAATTTTCAAAAAAAACTCCCTTCTTTTCTCATGTTTTATCCTTCGTATTTTTTAACATCGCTCGAAATACAAATTCTTTCTTACGAAAATCCATGAGCAAGATGATCGATGAAACGATTCTCACTCAGCTCGATCTTTGACCATCGTCTTGATCCCGCTTAACGAGCGACACTCCCCTCATTCGGGATGATAAAACTGCGTGAAACAGTGGGTGGCGATTCGTGTCGCGATGCTTCTTCGCGAACGCATTAATCCGCACACGAAACGATTGAAACGGTATATTTATTTATCACTCTTTTGTCGAGCGAATCGAGACAGATGAATGGAGGAAAGGATGGTGGCAAGTATCGATCGAGATATTACGCACGCATCGAATTACGAGAGGGATTATCGTCGTGCTGGGGGAGATCATCGCGTTGCCCACGATAATTATTTCTGCGTTAGCCATAATTATTGCCAGGGTGGCAATTAATTCCTGGCCAAGCGGCAATTAATTTATTGCGGGTTGATTAATTGCCGCATGCTAACCGTTGAGAGACAGTTCGTTACTGTGTGCTTCTGCTCGGTGGATCGCCCTTTTGCCTCAAGATACAAGATCGATCGCCACCGTGACCCTTTGCCAGAATTCTTCCGGAGATGCTTTTCCTTTATTGTCGTTGGCCGATGTTAACGTTGGGTCAAGGAGGTGGAGATAATTTGTGTTTCCAGCTGGAATATTCATTGCTCTGAAATTTTGATTTTAATCTACGTATCGTTGTCCAGTCTTGTTCCTTCCACTTAAAGGATGAGTCTTCTAATGTGACGATTTTAAATTACTGATTAGTTTCGACTTGTTACGAGCTAAAGAGTATCTCCACGAGAAATTACGTACGTACAATCTGAAGAATTTTTTAACGTTCACACGTTGTTCGTTTTTACATGTAGACAGACATATGTAAGTCAATTTTTTTTTTTTAATAGTAATAATCTGATTCTTCGAAGTTGACCGTACATGGACAGGAAGCTCGTTCGTTTAGATAATACTTCAATGAAGTGATTTAAAGTTTATCGTATTAGAACACATTGCTGTATGCTTGAACCTCAATTAATCAAACGACATTTGGATTAAACCAAGACCACCCACAAAACTCCAGTAGATATTCCAAAGTTCCTCCACAGAGGGACCATTTTATTAATTGTCACGATCCTGGAGCCATTCGAAACGTTTTTTTCTTTTTTTTTTTTTCCTTGTCGAACAAAAATGCTGCAGGCATCGATAATGCGCGACCCTCGAAGAGGCGAACGAACTATCGTATTTTTCTTCCGTTATCGAGGGAGGATCGAGCGATAAATGACGGTCCCTGGCCCATTTTGCGGATGAGATATTGCGTAGATTTTCACTTTTCACCGTGGGCCGGCCATTTGCGGCGATCTTTGAGCGCGCTCGAAGAACCAACGCATTTCGATGAAGGATATGCTGTTTGGAAAACACGATTCGTTCCGTGCCGTGGCCATTGTAACCTCTGGACACGTCGAATTTTTCAAAATCGACCAGGTAGAAGTTCCCCTTTCGTCACGCTGGTTTTTCACTCCATCGCTGGTGAAATAGTTCGTGGAAACTCAGTCGAATCGTCGATATCTATTCTCCTTCGATCTTTTGCCACGAGTTATACGATTCATATCGTGACAAAAAAAAAAATATTCCCTCGAATTTCTCCTCAGATCTTTAAAAAGTATAAATTATTCATAATATCCGTAAGTTTTATTAGTTGATAAAATTTTGTTTGTTCTTCTATCCGAATCGTTGATAACAAAAGCAAATCTTTCTTTCTTTTTTTCTTTCTTCTTTGTGGAATTTTCATTTTTATCGAAAACAATTTCAAATATTCTGAAATTCTGAATAAGCGATTTTCCTCCAGGAGAGATTAAAAGGATTCTGTTTCTACTGTTTATTGGAAACCTTGATACATTCGAGTTTAATTATAAATATTCATGGATCATACATTGCTATATTTACAATTCGATCGAGCAGGTGGATCCTATTTGTTAATTGTCCATCAGAAATGGGAGGGGAGAGTATATATCCAAAAATAAGAACGTGCGAAAATGTTTTCGTAACGACCAGGAGGGGAAATTAATATTTCGCAGATTGACGAAAGATAGTTTTCGAAAATAATCGAAATAAATTATCAAGACGAGAGCTGAACTACTGAGTCTCTTTGGCTCTCCCGATCCACGACGCGGGATGATCTCGCGAAATATTATTTAATCCTCACTGGCCGTTCACGCTCGTGGCAATTCCATGATGTTCCTGCCTCTCGAGAATTTAAAACGGTTAAAAAAAAAAAATGATGTATAGTAGTATAGAAAAAAAAAAAAAAAATTAAGGAATATCCAGACACACTTGGACGCTGCGTATATATCATTATGCGTATAAGTATAAACCTAAATATTGTAGCTGTTTATTGCATAGCGATGCTTATATTATACTATATAGTGCATTATTCGCGAACATTCAGAAACTTCGATTACATGTGTCGGTATATTCAGTTATATTATTATTATTATTATTATTATTATTATTATTATTATTATTATTATTACTATTATTCAGTCTCGAAACTACAGCTGGGCTAACTGTCTGTCTTTATTTGATATATAGGCGTTATCCGTGAGACTGAGGTGATTCAAAATTTAAAAGAATTGTACAAATTATGTTGATTTGCAGATAGAATATAATCAGTTATTTATTCAGCTGTAAATCGAGACCTTGATAATTTGTGCGTTCCTGAATATGGCGAGTAATGGAATTAGATATACTTAAAGTACTGAATCTCATCAATGGCATTAGACGCCTGTATATCTAATTATTCGATTTCATTAACATACGCATGATCGAGAAAAAGCGTTTTTAACCTTATTTATTAATATTTAAATCAAATTTTTTCCCAATTGCGCATTCGATGACAAAACGTGACAAACGTTTCTTGCCTTCTAAATTCATCTTTGATCATTATTATCGACTGACGATAATTCAATTGTACGTACGATAAACGGAATTGTAAAAGAAAAAAAAAAAAAAACTAACATTTAGAGAATAAGAATTCAATCATTTACGATCTATCCAACGACATTTCGTTTCATCGACGGCTAATTAATTGTACAAAAAAAAAAAAGGAAAAGAATAGAAATACCTAATTATATTTATCACAATATATCTCAATTTTCCTAATTTAAGTCCATACATTTAAACACAGACGAGCAATAGAATAAATGTGATATATTATTATGTCATAGAAATTTAATACTCACTTAACCACTTTACCATTTTCGTATCACATGCGATATTATCGATTCAGTACACGAAAACATTCTAGGAGATGGGAATTAAAACTTTACATTAACATTCATTGATATTAATTCACATTAATTAAAAATAATTGATATTAATTACAAGACAAGTAGTATACATCAATCATACGAATGCATAGGGTAAATAGTGTAACTATATAAAAGAAAATAAGTATTTATAACATAAAAAAGTAGCTATATTCTCAAATTCTCTAAAATTAAAAAAATTGTCAAAAAATGTTTGAATGTTAAATGTTGCAGAAAATAGTTTTGAATATCCAAATGAAAAATATTCTTAGAATTAAGAAAAACTGATGAACAATCTTAAAAAATGATTACTATAAAGGGTAAATATACAAAAACTAAATAATTCGTAACTAAGTATACAAAATATAAAAATATTTGACGTAAAAATTCCTGGAGAAATTTCTTGATCAATCTCCTATCATATTACGTTCTCCTAATGCAAAATCGAATTTTTGGCCAAAATTTTCTCTCCACGATTTGGATGATTCCTGGAATTTGACATCATTTCCAAGAATTTTCGAAATTCCAAGAATTTGACGAATTAAAATGGTAGTATCGTGTGCGATACCTTTTTTTTTTCGAGATCAATATTTAAAAACATGAAAGATCCAAAAATATCACATCTATTCGTCTGTGATAAATATCCTTAACTTTAGAGATACACAATTTTTAAATACATTACGACTCGTGAACTTGTTTTTTCGATTTTAACAACCGTCGATTGAAAAAGTATTGAGCTTATTCTCATTTTTACCGATTGCGGTAATCTTCCTCGCATTATTACCAACAGAGGTTATACCTCCGGCAATTTTCTCAAACATTTATACCGACGGAAACGCAGCGAAGAAGAAGAGAAAAAGAAAAAAATATGCAAAGTGGTCGCGTTCAGTTAATTCTACCTTTATGTGTCATATAACTTATGCTGTCGGATAGAAGCTTTTCCCTAGCTTGTCGTCGAATTCGCGAACACATTGCTAATATCGTTCCTGCCATTAGACAAAGGAAACCACAACCGATTCCTATAACCGTACTAAGAACCGTCGATCTAAGACACACTCTATCGTTCGTTGGTTCATTGGTTCCTGTAATACAGAAATTAATCGATATAAATAATAATATAAAAACCAATAAATAAATAAATAATCTGTGGGATTTCATATTTTAAAAATAGATTTAATTCAATTGAACTTACCACTTCGAAAAGCTGTAGTAGAATTCTGAAAGAATTCTGTATCTGCCTCGCCCTCTTGAAGCACACGTAACGATTGGAAGAGATTCACATTCTCCGACAGACTCGTCGCTGGTGTCGATGGGCCACCAATTTCTGGCAGAGAACGTTTCGCTACGTTTTTGGCATTTCTCCAATGACACGGTTGACTCTGCGCGATTAGAAATAATTTTATAGCAACAGATTGTTCAAAGAGTTAGTTTTGTAGCTTTGATGAAAATGATTCACGACAACTTATCTTCCTTAATGTACTTACCGGGCATCTTCCGTGGCACATTCTTACGTCACACTCAATATACAATGCTGGCGAACCGGTGAACCTGAACGTTTTCATATAGGCGAATACCTGAGTTTCGAAGAGGCCGCTCTCAGACCAGGATCCACGGAATCTGCTGATTAATTTATCGTCGACGGGACATCCGTATTGATCGATCAACTGGATCCTTTTATTTCCACCATTGTGAGCGTAGCAATCGTTTACGACAATGTCGAAACCATCTGTGGACACAGAGGCAAAAATTGTATAACAGAAGCCCGTTTATCTGAAGTTCATTCAGCGGAAGAAAATTTTGTATAGAGCTCGTTCAATTGAATTACCGTCGATTCAAAATCTAACTAACTCATCTAACCATGAACATTTATTATTATTTGAACGAGACATTATCGGTAAACTATTATACGAATTTTATTTATGACTGATATCACACGTTGCAATATGAGCATCACACGAATTATTATCATCTATCGTGATATATTCATATTCCTCGATCCTAGATAAATCTGTACAAAAACATATCTTCCTTATTCTAATCAACTGACATTTCATCCATTATCTATCCGTTCTGAAAATAAGAAAAGAAAATCTTTCTGGATCCAGTGACATGGAACACATCAGCCTTCATCAATTGACAATTAATCCTTTGCGGACAAACATTCTCAATTCCGATTCTCCCAGTAGATCAAGAATATTTTTCCAACCAGTCAAGATGTTAAATTAAATATACCTAAATATTAGGTATAAAGGGAAACGTGTATTTTGTATTTTATTATTTTATATCCTGTTGTAAAATGCTAATATAACATTATACGCTCATATTCAAGTTAATTTTATTTCGCTTAATCGCAACTTGTGGCGGCCGCCATTCGTCCGCAAAGGGTTAGTTAGGTATCGATCCTCGGAGAAAAAGTTGTACGCGACTAATTTTAGATCCCCGAAGGGAAAACACATCCGTGTGCATAACCAGAGCTGTTCGCGTCCCGTTATCCCGAGGAGGTAACACCCGACAGATGTTACGTAGCGCCACGCGATTAAGCCCGCGGCCTTACGGAGCGGTGCAAAGCGAAAATGCGTGCCGCCATATACCGTATTTGCTGCGCATGTAGATAATGAGAGTCAGTGGATCCCCGACGCGGACTGGTCCAGCCACTCTAGTTCCAGTGGTCCCGTAACCGTATCTGATTTCCATGTAGCACTCTGGTGGCTGCAGGGTGAACACTACGGGATTCCCCGTCGCGACTCTGGAAGAAGATATCCGCGTTAGAGGTTTCTCTTTGCTTCCCGGCTTCCCGTTAACCCGACACTGGGACAAAGAAATATATACGATACGTCGGCTTAATAAGCGATAATTTTCCTCGAGATGAGAGATCGATCGTAAAGATTTTCAACCGCTTACTCGACGTCGAGGAAGGGGAAGGTGACGGTCTTCCAGAAGTCGTAGCCGTATTCGCAAGTCACTTTGAAATGCTCGTCGAATTCTTCCTCGATGAGCGGGTTGTACTGCACCGTGACCGTGTTCCACATCAGGTTTTTCTGGGGTGAGAACAAGATCAAAATGAGAAATGAAAAAGAAATGAGAATTTAGAAGATATATGCAGAAAGATGTTCGACGAGTATAAAAAAATGAATGAATAATTGACATTTTTGTAAAAAGTGAAGAATGTATTTCTTTCTATCGAATAATAAAGAAACGAAAATTGGATAATTTTTATGAAAATTAATTGATTAATATATATTATACTGTATCGATAATACTTGTATAAATGAATTTTTTTGGATAATAAAATTTTATAATTAATTCAAATTTATCCTATTTATCCTACGTTTATGACGAGTATAGTTAGTTAGTCGATTTCACAAAACTACTTCCGAAACGAAATTTCATCGTTAAAAGCTTAATTTACTATTTCTTTCGAAAGTCTAGTCACAGCCAGGGAAGCAAATAGATACAGTTTAGTGCAACCGATATAAATCACGGCGCGCGTGTTTAATAAATCACAGGAGAGCGTAACAGAATTATTAACGTCGGCGCGGATTTGCGATTCATAATTGCTAAGCCTCTCTAACATGGCACGGGTTGGGCGTGTATTAATACGTCGCGAGCTGCTTGACTGTGGAAATAAAAGGCGAAACAAAAATCGTGTCGATTCTTTTTTTCCTTTCTTTCTTTCTTTCCTTCTTTTTCGCGTGTGTTAATCATTATTATTCCTTGTCAAGTGGTCACGCTGCGATGGTAACGAACCACATCGTGCGCCATGTTGCACGCCTGGTTTACTTACCGTAGGATTTTTTCGACTGTCCTGATGATGGGTGTTCTCGCCAAGGGTGCCGCAACGATTCAACTGAATGTAGAACTCGTAGTAGTCTCGACCTGTTCCGTTCACGTACATGCAGTCCGGGTCGTAAGAGTAACCTTTAATTGAAATTATTATTAATAGCATTCTCGTACAACCAGTGTTTTCGAATTATTCGAATTTGTTCGAATACATTTATGCTCGCACAAGTAACGAGACATCTTTGAAAATAATTGGCGAATAATAATTATCACAAACGAATAAGCAAATATTTCTTCTTATTTTTCTCATATTTCTCTTTCTTCCTAACCGAGTAACAACACTAATCGAATCTCTGAAACAATGATAATACATCTCTTCCTAAATTCAAAAGAGCGAGTACGAATAATTTACGAGCAGGACAATGATCAAGAAGGACGTGCTATTTGCAGATGTATCGCGCAAAGAGGGGGCAATGCGCTATGCTTCTTTCAAAATAACGGAAGTGCACGATTCGACCATGTTGGCCTCGCCTTGGAAAAAGGAAAATTCTCTCTCTCCCTCTCTACGTGCTCGTCTCTCGCTGAGGCGAGCCTTCCGAGGAGATCGTTTCACGATAACGCTGTGCCATTAGCTCGTCGGCAGTTTCGAGCGTTGTGTCCACGGAGATGATGATTGCGAACAGCGGACATCGTGTGAGCTCGTACAAGAAGGACGTGATAGCACGTCCTTTGATGCGGATGCTCGCCAGCACGTTCACGATTCCCGCTTCTCATGTTAATTTTTCAAGTTTAACTTACCAGCCGAGTAGAGGAGACCGGTGAAGGAACCGTTGAAACCGATCCTGATCTTCATGTAATCGTCCTGGCATTCCGCCTCGATATCTGCAAATTTTTAACACTCTTTATCAATGATTGTGTTCTTTTTTTTTTTTTTTTGTATTAGATTTAACTTGTGGTTTAATATCTTTTGTTCTGGATTGGATAAATTTACGCAGCATTGGCCAATGTTCTTGTTAAAAATAAAGGAAAAAGTTGAAATTGCCTTCCGATTATTATTAAATAATCTCGTGCAAAATCTATGTTTGTATTACAAAATCTCAAAATTTATCATCAAAAGTTCTCCACAATTTAGTATCTTTGTGATACCTATTATTCACTATCGATAATAATTTCCACAATTTTGATCAAAATCTACATTTCGTAAAATCTCGAACATAATCTTTCTCCAAATCGAAAAGTATTCCAAGATATTCCCTTTTCCTAAAATCACACATTTTCCAAAACCAGAACGTTTTACCACCCAACTTTCCCATCGATACCATCGATTTTCAGTTTGGCGATCGGAGGCAACGAACCAAGAAGCGGCCACAATGCCGAAACATCGTGCGTCTGATCGTGTCGAAACGGTCGGAAAATCGGGGGATCCATCCGGTGGGCGGAAAGCAGCGGAAAACCGGTCGCCGATGACGAGTGAAAGTAAACCGGCTAGCCCCCTTTATAGGCGCTCTTCGTGGTAAGGAGCCGTTTCCATCGTACGTAAAACGACGTAATCCACCGCCGCGGTGGAAGATGGACGGCGTTAGATGGAGGCTGCAGATAGTCACACTCGAGGTGATTCTCGATGATACAACGTTTCGCCGAGAGAGAACGCTCTCTCTCCCTCTTCCTTTCTTTTCTCTCCCCTCCGGATGAGTGAAGTGGGTGTAGTGGCACACGCGTTTTCGACCGGTATGCACGCACGCTTATTAGAATTGCGGATGGATACGTGCTTTGTGCTCATCGGCCGGCAAAACGTACGAGAGTAAACAATGGAGTTGCGGTTGCGCAATGTTTGATAGTCGCTCGTGGAGAGTACGCGCGGTCGAGTAGGCGAGAAGGGGAGCGGTGAACATTCTTCACTCGCGATTTCGTCCGTGAATCCCTGCGTTTAATTCGCGTTTATGGGGGAGAGGAAGTTTTAAAGTTTTTGGCTTCGATCGTAAAATTGAATTGGGATATTGGAACGCGATTTTATCGTTCGAGAGGAAAGGCTTGTTTGAAAAGAATTAAGGATGCTTGAAGATAAATCTTGGAAGAGTATTGTATACGTTTGTTATTTATAATTTGATTCTATTAATTTTACGAAATGTGAAGAAAATAAGGAAAGTTTTATATTATGCATAATCATCTTTCTGTGAATAAATTTTATGAAGCGAAAGATTATACGTGTAATAAATATGTATCAATGAATTATGTATTGAAGTCTAGATTGTTTTATAACGATTATATAACAATCTTTTCTATAAACGTGATACAGATATAAATTTGCGCGTGAAATATCTCGAATAGATACGAACGGGTCGAGTCATTTGTGTTTGATTTCGACGAGGGACGAGATGAGTGACAGATAATTTGCAAAGTTTGAAAGGGATAGCCAACAGTTCGTCCGATGTTGGATCTTTGATGCTCTTCGTAGAATTTAATTACGATCCAAGGATCTCTGTTTTAAACAGCCCTATTTCACTTTGATTACAACCTACCTGGAGAACAAAATAAGCAGGGTATCTACCTCTTTCAGGAAGTGGAACGTACGAAACGTAGATTCTAAACCTCGGGTCTTTCATTTAAATCTCGTTACCTCGAATTCTTGAATCGCAGATTGTAAAAAGACCAACATCCTGACGGCTCTTAAACTCTCTTTAATTATGAAAATAGTTGTGTGTGTATCTAATTTTATCTTCCTAAAAAGATCGTTTGCTCGCATGCCCTTGTTTCAATGCGATTAATTTCCAGATTTGTAAACGATTCTGTAAAGAAATACAAAGATCATCGAGAACGATGCAGATTAAGTTTTTCTCGTTACTAAATGCCGAGCTGGGCGAGTGGAGCAATTTCTAAATGATGACGTGATTACCTCAACATGTAACAAAGTTTAACGTCGACGATTTGCGTGCCACGATACCCACCATTTCAAAGCAATAAAACGCTTTTTTCCCAATTTTTGCTTTATGCAACTTTAAGACTTTACACCGAAAGCATAATCGAAATACAAAAGAAAAATCGATCTCAAAAGAATTCCTCTTCGTATCACACCTATTAACCATTCCGTTTTCGATAAATCACTTCGTCACAAAAGATGTCACAATAATAAAATAAAAGGTAACGGATCACGGCAAAGGTAAAGGATAGCTCGCGGACAATGACGAAGAGGCGAGAGACAAATTCTCGACCCGGCTACGTAGAAACGAGGCTTGTGCACAGGAGGATGCATTAAAGCTAATGGGCTTTCTTTCGCGTAATCGACGATGCCGCGGGTGGCCGCCACGTTTCCCGCAGAGAGGCCCTTTACGGCTTCATCGGGACCAGGCCGGTTCCACAAGAAACACTCTCCTCCTCGACAATCTCGTGGACGAGCGCCTATTTCGGGGACGTCTCTTCCACGACGATTCCTATCAATTTGCCTCTCGATTAAACCGCCCTTAACCTTCGAGCAATTACCTCGTCGACAATCCCTCGTGACCGAGCGCTTGAACCTCCAAGATTATCATCTAGGAGGCCGACGCCCTCGCGGGGATTTATTTATTGGGGAAAAACTCGCAATTTCGCGAATTACAGCCTTCACGGGTCACCAAGTCGTCGGGATAAGATCGAGGAGAGCAGGCTTGGATAGATACACACACACACACACACACACACATACGCGTGAGGATAATAGAGTGAAGTGAAGAGAAAGGAGAGACGCGTTGATTTCTCAGGCGTCGGGTGTGCCGTACGACTTGCCGACACCGTTTTAATTGCGTCCACTCTAACGGTAGCCGCTCGTGTTCCGAATGCCAGACCAACAGACGAGGACGTTGCGCCAGGAGTAGGATGGATCGATCGATCAAATCGCTTGTGGACGGGAGTCCTTAGATCCGTGGAGAAATGGCGGCAATAACGGAGGCGCGGTAACGGTTCTCGAGGGTGAAAGTTTGGCTTCTTATTGAAGGATCGTGGATTTAGATGGTAAGGCGATGATAAGATGAAAGTGGCCAAGGTCGTGTGTGATAAAGTGTATAGATTAGGAATATTTTGGAGATAGTTGGGAAAAGCTGATGAGGATCTTAGTATTTGAGTATCTGTTTGTTTGTGCAAACTTCGTTCTGGCTGGTTACTTTAATTCCTCTGTTTTTCGTTGTTATTTATGGTTGAAAAAGGAAAAGGTTGTTGGTGAAAGAAGTTTCATAATATTTCTGAATCGCTTACGTTGAACTCGAGTGGTATTAGGCCTGTATCTCCTGTGTTCCCGATCCCAAGATTCCGGATGCCTCTTCCAGTCCTCGTCCCCGACTACCCCTGTGCCTCCGCCTCCGGCTATTCCTTGCAAACCCTGGAGAGTTTGAAGGGCTTGGAGATTCGGGCTCAACGGTCTTCCTTTCAATGACGGTACTGGTACGTACGCTGCTCCATCTCCAACGTACACCACCTGCGTAGATTAATGAAATTCAATTAGTTTCGATGAGCAAATATAAAATAAAATTAAAATCAACAAGTTCTTTCCGTTCGACAATTATTTAAGAACTAGTTGTTAGTTATGAAATATATTTTAATATGCATAGTTTTTCGTTTTCTCTATCTTACTGTTAATCAACCTCAACTTCTAGAAATAGAAAAACCAAGAATCCTTGCATTTTATCATGTAGCCCCTTCCATTCAATGCTATTGTTCTTTGTTTCTTGATATGAAGACCCCGATATATATACCCTTTTTGTTGTCCAAAATCTCAATTATATTCTTCTTCTATTAAACTCAATATTTTCGTGTTCAAAGTAAAGAAAAAAAAAGAAAAAAGAAAAGCAATATATTATACAATGCAAGAGCATAGATTCGCGTCACATCCTCGACAGAGATCTATCTTTCCAACGATGCAGCCGCAATTTCCGGCGCGGAAACGAGCGATTTCAGAGGAAAAGCGAAAACGACGAGGCGAAAAGAAAAAGAAGAGCGCGTGACCAACGGTTCACGTTTCTAGCGTCTCGAAACATTCGCGCCGAGATAATACTCGGTTTCGATCTCCTTGTCGCGCAACTTCCACTTGTTCCACGCCATCACGAGAAAGATTCCTTCTTTGCTCGATTTTCTCTCGGATGCACGCTCGTACACTCATAAAATACGTGCACCCGAGTTTGCCAATAAAGGTTTTGAGGGAAGAGTGTTGTCTCGAGAAAAATAGTTGCGGCTCGAAGTTATGGTGTTAATACCAGCCACCTCGAAGGTTTTAAAGAATCGTGAAAGCCAAGTCTATCTGTGACTTTGTATCGGTTCTGTTTCTGGTCTTAGAGTCCTCATTTTACGAGGTTGTTTCGTCTTACAGGCATAGCATGCAGAGTTTACTGGAAGGAATGGAGAATAAGAAGAGGAGAACGACATGCAACGTGGACGAAAAAGAGCAGAATTCTTGTGGAATGAATCGACTTACGGGATTTCTAGTATAAGTTACAGTTATAGATTTTATTATTTAGAAGGATTATATTACACGATTTCTTTAAAAAAAAAAAAAACTAACTTTTTAACGTCTATTCGTTCGAAAGAAAAAAAAGTTAAAATTCAACTTAACCGAGGAAATCGAGGATTAATTTTTTTAAACCGTTCGTTTATAATAGATATCTTTCTGATCGAATAAACAATTTAATAGTTTTCTCTTGAACTTGAATTTAATAATTACAATATCGATATTATTCATTCAATTCTATTGATATCCAAAGAAAGAAAGAAAAAAAACAATCAAAATTCAACTTCCATCTCAACATTTTCTCACAATTGTCCAACAATCGACAGGTATCATCGATTATCCGTAATCTGTATCGAGTAAGACAAGCCACGTGGTTAGTGGTAAATGCCGACCAACAGCAAAAAGCCAGTGAAGATGCTCCATATGCTGGTACCAGTGGAAACAATCGTGTCGTTACGCGCTCCTCTTCGCCGATCTCTCGCCTCTTTTTTTGCCTCATTCCTCCGCCCGTTTCTCCGCCTTTTACCAACCTCTTACCACCAGCCTCTGGATTCTTTCTCGGATTCCTCCTCGTGTGTTCTCCACCCGAATCAACTTATCCGCGTGAACAACTGACACGCAACATTCTCGTTCCGCTTCCATCTTTCTCCTCCTTTCTTCCTCTATTTGTTCTCGAGTTGAACGAGGAAAATTATTGCTTTTCACGGATTCTACTTTTCTAGCATTTCTGGAACTCGAGTGGCGTTTATGGACCACTAGAATGGTTGCTACAGAGTCGTTCCTCTCTTCTGCTATCTTCTGTCTCTTCGTTTTATGGGAAGAGAGGATCTTTGGAAGTATCGTCTTCAGGAATGCTTACGCGAGATTGAACCTCGGATAAAGGGAAAAAGGGTTGAGATGGAACGCTTGGTTTCCGCGGAAGTGGATAGTTCTTTTTAGAAATATCTAAAGTTACTTACAGTAATGGAAAGTTTTCAGATTTGAAATCTAATTATAATTATTCGATAATCGAGAATAATTTCTCGCGTTGTAATAACAAAGAGTTTCTTCTTTCCTTGAATCTTTTAATTTATGAAATTGAAAACGATGTGTACGGAATGAATTAAAACGTTCGAAGTAAAAACGTTGTAAAAATGAGAATTTCTCTCGTGAAGTAGATTCTCGGGAGATATTTTCTACGATCTTTGTGTGATTCCGAATCTACTACGTGTCACGGCAAATACGATGTGACATTCGTGGATAGCATACTTCTTTTAACACGAGATCTTCGTTGCGGCCAGTTGTCGATGGTCTATCTATCGAGTCTCATCATGCGCTCATGCGATGATTAACGGTCGCGCGGTTAGGGCGTCGAAAGTCATTAGTCGAGTTATGATCGGTCAGACGAGAGCTAGGTGAATGCACCTATCGTATCTCCAAGGCTTGTCCCTGACCTACACCTGTTCATCAACCGAGCCTGATTATCCCTATCATTTGGTATTTCTTATGAATTCCGCGTGATCCAGGTAATTCCAGGTTGTTAGCGATTGGAATTCCCTTGTGGTGCGTACGAGATTGCACAAAGTATGTTTTATAGTTCTCTTCTTTTACGATTTGTTTCATTGTTGCGTCGATATTCAGATCACCGAGTATTTCAGATTGGAAATACTTTGATTGATTATCAAGGCTGGAAAAAACTGTTCGAGTTTGTTGATTCGTATGATAATGATACGTGTATGAAAAATAAGAAGTGATTTATAGATTCGAAAGGATTAGAAAATTATCACATGGAGTTTATCTCGTGTTTAGAAAAAGAATAGCTTTCTTCGTATATTTTTTTATATTCTCCGATATCAATGTTGAATTGGTATTTATTTGCAACTGTAACACACATTGAGATAACTTACCACCTAATTAGATATTAAGATACCAGCTAATTTAAAATAATGCGAAAATTATACACGTAGTTTCATTATTTATCAATTGAATTTACATCGCATTTTTTTTCTTTTTCAGCTCTCTACTTTTTTTAGTGTATCACATATCAATCTTGGAACAATCTATGAAATTTCGATTTTTTTTTATACGACAACTTTGATATTCAATAATTGTGTAACTGTTACTACTATTTTTCGATTACATCTTGAGGAACATCTTGAAATTTTCTTATAGAAACGCTATTACACTATTCTACGAAAGAAGAAGCAGAAATAATGGAAGGTTGGTTAATGCTCGTCGCAAAGAAAAAAGAAAAAAAAAAAGGATCGACTACAAGGTAGATTTTGCTACATCGTCATGCACAAAGAAATTGACGTTTCGTCGAATCTGGTTCGACTTCACGAAAATACTTACAGCTTCGTGGTCGCTGGCCTCGTGTGTTAACGCTTCCCTGGTTTCGTTGTGAAGCATGTCGTCCTCCTCGGGATTTGATCCACTTCCGGCCCAATAATCCTCGGTTGTCTCGTCCAATACCGAGTCCTCCACGTTTCCATCGTTGTCTCCGTTGTCATGGCTCGCCGCCTTTAAAATTCACGTTTACTCTTACCTTCTACGAAAAAGTTTCAATTTTGATTGCTTCTGTGAGATTCTACCTGACATGGAAGCGTTGCTGCTGTCAGAAGCCAAACGATCGCGTACCTGAAACGAGAAATTGTTTTAATTCTAATTATTTTCAAATTTTTTTTAATACTGTCTATAAAATAATTATTCCGAAATAATTATTCAAATCTAACGTGTTACATTACTTTTGCAATTTGTTATTCCATACACACTAGATTACGAACATCGAAAAAATAAATTACAAATGTAATTTCATTAATGGAGATAAAGTAATGTAACATATCGGATTGAATATTGAAAAAGAATCTTGCGATTCCTACCAATTATTCCGAAATATACAAATCTAACGTGTTACACTACTTTTTCAATTTATTATTCCATGATAAATATATATATATACACACTGGAACACGAACATCGAAAAAATAAATTACAAATGTAATTTCATTAATGGAGATAAAGTAATGTAACATATCGGATTGAATATTGAAAAAGTCTCGAATCTTGCGATTCCTACAATTCCAAGGGAAAAGAATAGTAGTAAAATCATGCACACATCGATTTCTATTCAGCACACGTATCTATATTCCAGACCCGCTCCCCGTGCACGTTGTCCAAAGAAAGTGCAGGTTCTCTGTGATTAGCCAAGGGAAGCCGAGAAGCCTGAGAACACGGAGGCGGGATCTGAACGCGCACGTCCGTTCACGCGGTAACAGGCCGCGGACCGACGCGAATTTGCGATAATAACGAAGGACAACGGACGGATAGAATCGCGGGAAACCATAATCGGATCATTGCCAACCGTGACTCGTGCAATCGCCCTCCTCCATCCAGGGAATCCTCGTCGATGCGTCACACGGCTCGCATACGAAACGCGTTTCTCTATGTATATTTCGGCCCCGAGATGGATTATTCCTTGGTAGCAAGAAATTCCCATAGAACGCGCCACGAGGAAGAAGAGAGGGATGAGTCATCGTTTTTCTTCTTCTTCTGCAAAGAAGAGAAAATGATGCCGACGAGACGGGATGGACCAGATCTCCAAGACGTTAACGCACCGCGATCCGTGTCACCTTCATTCCCACACAGACGAATTCGTTCCTCTTTTGTTCTGCCACTTCCTTCTTCCCCCTCTATTTTTATCCACTTCTTTTCTACGATGCTGATGTAACGGGGCCTCTTTCTTCGACATCGATCTCGTTCATTTCGATCATGCCGTTGTTTCTACGTTCTTGAAACGATTGACGATTCGACCAATGAGAGAGAGGATATTGGATCAGGGGTTAAAAGGTTCTTAGGTCGTATCTTGGGAAGTTTTCTTGGAGTAAGATGATGGGACAATCGTGGGATTGCACTTGGCAATGGAACGATCTCGAAGATCGTCCGATCTTGATGTACATTTTTTTAAACATGTATTATTTGATAAATTTCTACTTGATATCGATAAGTGAGATTTGAATTTTGTCGATATTAAATCATATTACACTTTGTAATATTTGGAGAATTTCCATTTAAAACTTTATTTCTTTAGCCACGTTGATAAAAATTTAATATTAAAATTACTCACGAGAAATGAAACAGAGTAAAAAGTTTCGTATAAATTTAAACGATACCAATTAACTTAATTAACATTCATCATGCTGAGGCTACGTATTAACGTATTCTTATTAGATCAGTTCACTAGGTTAGTGAGAAGAGTATAAAGTTGAATCTCGATCGAAGAAAAATTCGTGGAATTCAACGTGTATCTCTAATGAAAGTTCCAGTTCATTTAAGATTGATAGGAAAAAGTGACTCCGGAAAGTCAGTTTTTCCCTCGATTTGCTCTGGACTGGTTATCTTCCTATAAACACACGTTCGAGGGATCACTATGATAGAGGTGGTAATGAGGCAGTCGGAACCGGTGTAATTTCTGTTATCGAGATAAACGCGCGTGCACGTTAACTCCTCCTAATGGCAGGGATGGGGTTCCTTTCAGGACTGTTAATTGCGAAGCTGCGGCTTCTCGCGGAAATCGACAGCTTCCCACGAACGAGAGAGGCCTCGATTAAAAATGTGACGCGTGAAGTTAATCCCTGCCGAGCGAATTGTTTCGATAATACCGTTCAAATTTATCAGAAAGAAATTCGTAGATGCGCCCCAAGAGCTACTTTAAAAATACACGATGGAAGTGTGTAAAAAAATATCGTATCACACGTGAAAATAAATAAATCTTTGTATCAATTTTTATCACAGATCATTCGTGTCTGTTAAATTATTTGTTAATCGTTTCTTACTTCCTCTACTTGAGAAATTTCACGATTTTCTGGGAGAAATGGAACGTGTCTAAAGAAAATTATCGATCCCTTAAGGCATTGAATACTGAAAAAATATTTGCCAATTAGAAATCGTGAGCGATACGAAACAAACAAACAGGGACGAAAGATAGCCGGAAGGTAAGGTATTCGAAACAAACGGTGTTCTCGTGAACTGTATATAAACTATTTTGTTAAAAGATTTTATTGTTTGCATTGAGCGAGCGTATCAATCCGTTCGCCACGCGTAATTATTATTATTTTCACGCTGGCGGCACGGTTAAACGGAACGGAAGGTGTTAAGCGTGGGATGAGCGACTCGAGAATACGGAGAAGGAGGATGGTCGTTAATCACGCGTAATCGCACGGACCACATGCGAGCGTGGGTGGAGGATCGCGAGTATGTTAATCGTTAAATGCCAATGTTCACGATTTCACGTGAGATATCGATCACCAGCCTAGGTTGTCTAGATAATGATGTTAATTACTAATCAAAGATATCCGTGACAACTAGTGAAGGTAAGCGATTAATTTGATTTAAGGAAATATTTCGATAACGAGGGAGAGAAAGTGTTCTGCGTAATCAGTTAAGTAAGATATGTTGAAAAAAAGAATACTTGCAAGAAAATTACAGAAAGCATAAGCAGATATTTCATTTTAAACTTTATTAGAATAAAATATTATGGAAACTTATTAATACTTTTTCAATTTATGTCCCTCAAATTATTTCAGAAATCTCTAGTTCCAATGTTCCTATATTTTTAAGACACCCTTTATACTTTCCGATATATCCTATTTCAAATGATATCAAAAGTTATTCTATCCAAACCGAAATCCAGTTCCTCTTCCTCTTTCGAAATTACACATAATCGACACGATACAAGATTTGAGTTGAAAGAAGGGAAAAACAGATGAATAAAGGAATAAGGAGGTGGAAAGGCGAAGGATCGATGTTGAATTCGATGTTTTGTTCATGCGCCCAAACGCGCAAGATAAATTTGGGGCAGAAGAAAGGAGGAAACGGATGGAAGGCGATCCTCGTTTCAATTCCGTTATTCCAAGTCTCTGGAGGTTTTCAGTCGCCTCGGGCACGAAAATCTTGGAGCGGGCGTGGATCAGCGTCGCGAGAGGGAGAGCGTAATTGGCGCGATTCGTGGTCGCTCGCGATCTGCCACGATCGTCGCCGCGAGCGATTCCACCGTCTGTGAGAAACGTGGAGAGCCGAGTCCTCCTCTCGCTTCGTTCCATCCACCCGCAGTTACATTGCCGTACAGTTACGCATTTGAAAGTCAGATCGCAACGACAAGCGTTGTGCGTAATTTACGAGCGTTTTCCGCGTGGCGATAATGCAGCTCGAATATCGTTCCATAACTATGAATTATGACTATTTGTTGATATTCATAAACTTCCGACTTGCTCGCTCGAACGATCATTGGAACAGGGAATAATCTATGGAGTACGTGTATTGATTGCAATTCTCGTGTGATGTAGAAATATATGCGTGTTTATTTTCCCTTTGATTTCATCCTATTTATACCGTCTGTCTATTAGTTTCATTCTATTACTTAATTTTCTTCTTCTTCTTCTTCTTCTAAAAATTTATCGAGTTTTTTTTTTCTCAGCGCGTACGTAATTTTAAAGTTAAAATTCTCAGTGAGTTACTGGATACTCGACGCAACAATTTATAAAAAATTCCACAGTTTCTTGCGAGGATCAGGCGTTGGGTCAGGCTGAAAAACTTAATACTTAATCGGTTGAACTCGTACAGGAAGTCGACCTCATCATGTTTCCCGTCACGTTAATGGCCGTTTTACCGTTCTTTATCAATTCCAAAGTTTCAATCTCGGTTCTCGCTTCACAGTTTCGTACGATTAGCGAACCAAAAGTCGTTCGATTTTCGACGTCTCGTCACGCATGGAATTATCTGTGGGAACTCGAGGAGCAACGAGCATCCTGTGAATTCGAACCCGTTCGAGCGAGACACGAATTTCGAGACAGAAGAAGACTCCTTCGAGACCCCTTTATCCTTGAAGAGGTTGGCACAACTGTCGCGGTTAAACGGAGTAAAATATCACTTTGAGCGATCGTGCGTATCAAGATCGAGGAGACGTCTGGCTGATTCTTTTTGACGGGAGAATTCTCTCTTTTGTCGGAAGGAGAAGCAAAAATAGGAAAAATTGTCGAGAATGAATTGAAAATAATGTCGGAGCCTAAGAATTTTTCAAAGGTGGTATATTTTGTAAGAAAAATTTGTCGAAACGAATTGGTATCTTTTTATCTACTAGATATCGCAGCTTAAATTTACTATGACCGATCAATAAGATAAGAAGCATAAAAATGAAGCGTAAATTTTTTGCCGTGAATTAACAGTCGAAAAAAGAGATGAATTCGAAGCTAGACATTGGTATTTCCCCGTGTTTACGCACGACAATTCGTAGCTATGAATTACGTGCTTTCCAGCCGACGGTCATTTGTGGTTAACCAACGATCACTGTCTACAAGACTAGACGAGAGGGATGATGGATTATTTTGCGATTCCCATCCTGGGAGTAACAAGAACGACAAGGGTGCGCCTCGAGAATTCACTTCAAATATTTATCCTCTTTCATAATGTGCGTCAAAATTCACATCTTCGACAAATACTGTTTCCAAATGTAGAAATCTCTTCGAAAAAAATTTTTTTCAAAAATTCTTCAAAAATTCGACGAATTACGAGAAACATTATCAAAAAGGAATCTATGATCGAGGTCAACCGATAATCGCAATAGCAGTAGCTTCAATAAATAA